TTTTGGTTCAGATCTGGTTCAGTTTATGGTTCAAGATTGATCATTGAAAATATGATTTTCTAAATAGGGAATACGATTCCCAGTTGAAGGGAGAGAGAAAATTTTTGAAATTCGCCCCTTATTCCGCAATCTTTGGGCGTCCATAGGATGGATCTCTCATCCCTTCACAATCTCCACTTGTTGTTCGGTCAACCTATACAGTCTTGGACAAAGTTCACACAACTTCCCAAAACCACACCATTCATCTTCCCAAAACCTTACTCTAGCCTCATCTCACACACTAAAACTCACCAAACCCCTGAACTCCTTATTGAACTTCATAATGACTTTCTGTACACAAACCACATAAGAGCTTGACACCTCTCTCGGCTCCCACCCAAACCTTACCACCCCATACTTCCCTACTACCACGGTACCACCCTTCTCGACAAAGACTCCTTTTCCTTCTCCAACCCAAACCTCCAAAGCCATTTTCCTAGGAGGCTTTGTTAAAAACTTTTATTCTCCTAAACCCCAACCCCCAGCTTTTTTGGCCTGCATACTTTTACCCATTTTACTAGGTGAAACTTCTTCATCCCCCTTGCCCCTTCCGAAAGAAAATCCCTTTGCAGTTTCTCTATCTTGTTGGCCACATCAGTTGGTATTTTCAACAAGGATAGGTAATAGGTGGGTAAGCTTGATAATACACTCTTAATAAGTATAATCCTACCAACCTCATCTCCACTCTTTCTATAAGAGGTCTACAATTGCTATTTGAGGCTGATTTAGCCCCAACTGGGAGGCCCAAATACGGAAAAAGGTATGTCCCCAATCTGACATTCCAAGGTTACTGCAAGCTGAGTCATTTCTTTTTGACTAATTTCCCCTACTTTAATTATGACTTTTTCCTAAATTCACTTTCAACCCTGACAACAACTCAAAATTGGCCAAAATTGCTCTTAAATTCAACACCTGTTCCACTTCCACATATGCATCTAGGAAAATGAATGTATCATCAAAATATTGTAAGTGGGAGATGCAAGGACCCTCTGTCCCTACCTTAAAACCTTCAACCTGGCCCTGCTGAACCCCTTTGTTTAGCAGCAGATTCAGAACCTCCATAATCAGCACAAACAGAGGAGAGATGGGATCCCCCTGTCTCAGCCCCCTATAAGCTTGGAAGAACTTTGACGTCACTCCATTGCGTAAAACTGAGGAGACAGATGGGATCCACATGAGGTTCCTAATCTCTTTCACATCATCAGATTTCTAAGTTTCTGGGTTTTCTTGGCACATGACCAAGAGGAAAAGTGAATGAAGAGCCCTATGGTCATCTCAGATCAGATCCGTAACCTGTAGATGTGTTTTGATCCAAGAGAGCAAGGGAGAGAGGGGAGAGGAGAGAGAAGAGAGGAGAAAAGAAGAGAAGAGAGTGAGGGCCAAAAAATCAAGCTGGCGGTGCCTCTATTAGTATATATAGTAGGGTGACAGTACACATAATAAAAAACAGGTAAAAAGGCAGTAATGCCCCTGTGGCATATATAGTAATAAATACACAACAATATCCCCTGTATAAAGTGCAGTGTGGTTTACCAAAATTGAAATGTATTGGATATTATGTTGTAAGATAAAAGCTGCTTTAGTTTGCTTCATGTAGTCTTTTGAGTTTAGAGTTGGACCATCATGAAACAAACATGGCATAACTATACTGAACCCTAGACAAGGAATTGTGCAAAGTAAGATACAAGTATCTATCCAAATCTGAATCTAAACAATGTAATATTCTTTTTTTGTATTTCTTATTTTATCCTTCTAATTTTTTAAGGTGACTATATGCATAAGAAATGTTTGGAATTTGAATGATTTTCAACTGAAAATTCTTGATTTTTTTTTCTGTGATAGGTCAAATTGTGGTGTGACTGTCCTTTCTGGCCTGATGATGGCATGTGCCGTTTACGGGATTGCAGTGTCTGTGAATGCCCTGCAAATGAGTTTCCTGAACCATTTAAAAAGCCATCTCGTCATTCACTTTCATCTGATGATTTAATATGTCAAGAGGGAAAGCCACAGGCTATTGTTGACCGAACACTAGATACCAAAGCTTTCAGAGGTTGGGTAGATATAGACAATCCATGGACAAAAGATGATGAGACTGATAATGGTAAATCCTCATTACTTCTGATGCAGATATTGGTAATATTATTGTTGCATAATCATTATCATTATTGGGGCAACCTGAATGTTGTTGGCTGTAACTACTAACTAATATCTACATGATGCAGTTATGTGAACTTTATGATGCTTAAACCACTTTCTCACATAAGCCTTAATTATGATAAGGTTTTACTTAAGCTTGTGAGATTCAATGTTTACGACTGCCCTTGAGACAAAAGCCCATTATCTAATCCTGGTCCAGGCCATCCAGAGTCTTGGAGGTGGACTGGGTACAAACCTAATCTCCAGTATTTTTGTACGAAATGATTGCTCTTAGACTTGAATTCACATTCTCATACTTGTTGGCCCTATATTTTACCATCGCCCAAGCAATGTTCTATTTTGACTGCCTTTGCAATGCATGGAAAATTTGATGTGGCAAATGCAAGATTTACAACTCTCTTCAATTGATTGCTAGCAGGGCCATTTTCTAGTTCCTTTCAATACAAGAGTAACAGGAATGTTGTAATTCTTTTTGATGGACAAAATTGAAGGCCAACTGATGTCTTCTCTCTCTCTCTCTCTCTTACAGATGAGATGACATATGTAAATCTCCAGCTAAACCCTGAACGTTACACTGGCTACAGTGGACCATCAGCTAGGAGGATATGGGATGCAATTTACATGGAGAATTGTCCAAAATGTGAGTATATTCCTTGTATTTGATATTAGTGGAGACTTTGATCATTGTGAAATAAGTTTCTAATCCTTTCCCAAAAAATTGTTGTATGCTCGTGCAGTAGCTGTTTTGTTTCTATATTTTACTTTTTTTTTCTTTTCTTTTTTATTTGGAGAGGGTACAAGAACTCGGTAAACAAAACACCCTTCCCAAGGAAGGGGTTATTCTGTCCATTAAGATCTATTGCAATTGTTCACAGTGATTGAACAACTTGATTTTGCAAGAACTGGAGGCCCTGATAATTGTATCTCAAGTCAACTAGATTGATGTTATACCACCCCAAAAGGAATGCAAAATTTTGACTATGTCAAGATGTTGCTGATTTAGTCATTGAATATTACTGATGATATGTTGAGTGATACTAGGGTGATTTCCCCCAATACCAATTGCCTCCAATTTGACAGGTTTTCCAGTAGCCACACAACCTATCAAGATGGATGTCATGTAGAGCAGACCAGGCTTCTTAAATTGTGTTAAAACAATAAATATCCCTTCATGGTCTCAAAGAAAAGGCATATTTTCTGAATCTCACAAATCCACCAAAATATGGTTGGATATTAACATATTAGAACCTGTCATAGCATTATTTTAGTTTTTCTTGTATAAGATGCTTGCAGAACCAGTGCCACTATTCCAAGTCTCCTTTATTTGGGACCATGACATAAGAAGTTTGACGAACCACCACATAGGACAAGCAAAGTCATTTTGGGAATTTCTATTTTTTTGCTCCATCAGAACTTCAGTCAACCATAACTCCCAGAAGGACTTCCATTTTGTTAACCTCAATAACGATCCTTGATAACTTTAGAGGGTTGGCATTATATATAAAGCTATCTGTAGAGCTGAGGGAACAGTATCCAGATTTGCGTAGAAGCTCCACTGGTCACTAACAAGTACCGGATGATTTCCTCCTCACCATAGTAGTAGCATTGGTCATCCAAGAAAATGTTCTTGTTCCTCAGGTAGCATTTGTGGGTAGTCTTTCATTTTCCAATAACCAAATAAAAATTTGAATTTTGGTGGCCTTGGAAATCTTCAACCAGCAGTTAGAAGAGTAGAATACTCACTCCCACTTTGCCTTCTGTCTCTTCAACTAAGTTGGTCATTTACAAGAGAGAGCTCCACTGGTAGACCTCTCCAACTAATCCAATCTTCACCTTGTTGTAGGTTTGTAGTGTTAGCAAACTGAGAACCCCGTTTCTTGCAAAAGGTTTTTCAGCCACACTAGTTCAAATGTAGTATGAGCCATGGTCTTATATTCAGCTTCAACACTGCTTCTTGCTACTACAATTTGTTTCTTTCTCTTCCAAGTCACCAGATTGCCACCAAGGAAGGTACAATACCCTATAGTGGATTTCCTGTCAGACGCAAATCCGGCCCAATCAGCATCTGTGTACCCCTCTATCTCAAAAGTTCCTCTACTCTTGTATAACAGTCCACAGTCTAAAGCTCCCTTCAAGTATCCAACAATCCTTAGGCATAAACTGATTCACCATACTTACTGCAAATGATATATCTGGCTGAGTAATAGTCATGTAGTTCAACTCATCCACCAACCTCCTGTACCTCATCGGATCTTCAAACTTTTCACCTGCATTAGTACTCAACTTTACATTTGGTTCCATAGGTGTTTCAGCTAGTTTGGCACCTAACAATCCTATCTCTTTAAGCAAATCAAGGATATACTTTCTTTTCAAAAAATATTTCAGCTTACCTAAGTCTTTTGTTTGGAAGAGATCATGCAGAAAGGTCTTCAACCTGTCAATCCCATTGCTATCATTACCAGTTATGACAATGTCATCCACATACACCACTAACAAAATCTTTCCAGCATCTAATTCATGGTTGAACATAGAATGGTCTACTTGGCACTGTTTTATGCCAAAGTCCCTCACTATTTCACTGAATTTGCCGAACCACACACATGGAGATTGTTTTAGCCCATAAATTGCCTTCCCAAGTTTGTAAATTTACCATCCTCCCCCTAAGCAACAAACCCTGGCGGTTTTTCCATATATATCCCTTCAAGAAGATCACCATGTAAGAAAGCATTTTAAATGTCAAGTTGAAAGAAGGGCCAATCATACATTTCTACCAAAGAAATCGACACCCGAATTGAACCAATCTTAGTCACAAGAGAGAATGTCTCCATATAGTCAACACCATACAACTGAGAGTACCTTTTGCCACTAACCTAGCTTTCAACTGTTTCACACTGCCATCTGGAAGATATTTCATTGTGTATACCCACTTACATCTAACAACATGCTTACTAGGAGGGAGAGTGGTAAGCTCCCATGTGTGGTTGTTTGCCAGTGTAGACAATTCCTCTTTCATTGCTTGCCGCCACCCTGGAGAGGCAATGGCTTCCTAGACATTCTTAGGAATGGAAACAGAGGATAACAGAGATATAAACTGTCGATGGGAAGCGAAAGGGTGAGCAACAGAAACATAATAGGAAATAGTATACACTTGCGTGATTGGTGGCCTTTCAGTACTAACATGCATTAGAGAAGACGATGGCTGAGACACAATAGGAACTGTAGGAATGGGGTCCTCAACTAGAACTGGAAGAGGAAACAAAAAAGGAGGAACATCAAAACTAGAATACAACAGAACAGACTCAAAGAAAGTAACATCAAAACACACAAATGACTGATGAGAATTAGGGTTGTAGCACTTATACCCCTTTTGGGTTTTGGAATAGCCAAGAAAGATGCATTTTGTAGCACGCGCATCTAACTTATCTAGTCCAAGCCCTAAATTATCAACAAAACAAACACAACAAAAAGCTCTAGGAGTAAGAGGGAATGGAGAAAGAGTAGGGAACAAGACTAAGAAAGGGGATTGACATCCAAGGATAGACATGGGCATCCAATTGTTGAGAAAACATGATGTAAGGATAGCATCACTCCAAAAATGCATTGGAACATTCATATCATGCATAATTTTTTTTTTGATAAATGAATGAGATTTATTAATCAGCAGAGGAGAATAGTACAATGTCCCAAGGAGAGGCACGAGATGCAACCTCTTTTGGTTAGTTTAAGTACAACTTCCACTATATTATAACAACTTACAAAGTAGCACAAAAAAGGACCTCCCTGGGTGCCCCTTGTTTAGCCAGAGAATCAGCCATAGTATTAGCTAACCTACTTACCCATTTTACCTCAAACCTCATATTCCTAGTTAACCACTTTACTTTTTTGATGAGTTCTTTGTAGCCCCAAATGGTAGCATCCGGGTTAAGCAGCCACCTCGTTACCACTTGAGAGTTCCCTTCAACTAGGAGATGCTCCACCCCAAGCTGGTTGGCAATCTGAATTCCTTGTACTGCAGCTAGTATTTCCGCCCTCGTAGAGTCCCCCACTCCCACCAATCCTGAGAATAAGGAGATAATGTTGCTGTCCTTGTTCCTCAGGACACCCCCAATACTTGATGGCCCAGGGTTACCTTGGCTACTTCCATCAAAATTTAACTTGATGATACATTCTGACGGCGGATCCCATTCTGATAGGCGTTTGTTCTTCTTTGTAGCAGTATTAGCTATTACTAATCAATTCCTCCACAAATCATCAAAAGAGAAATCATCGAATATCTCCAAGGTTTTCAGCCGATATATTGCTCTTGTTAGAATGTAGTCCTTCACTTCTTCTAATCCTCTTTCCTTCTCTAAGAAAACTCTTGCATTCCTTTCCTCCCATAGTGTCCATAAGGTTGCTGCCCTGACACATTTCCTCAAATCAGTTGGCGGAGACCACCTCCCTCCAAATAAACTAAGGCTCCAACTTCATAAGTCTGTAGGAAGGGAGCAGGAAATCGGCAAATAGAAACAGTCCTCATTCTGGGCCTTGCACAAGAAACACCAATTCGGGGAGAGACATAGAGAGGGTCTCTTTTTCTGCAAGTTTTCCAAGGTATTGATTTTCCCGTAGTAAACTTCCCAACAGAATACAACAATTTTTGGAGGGATAGGTTGGGCCCAAATCTCTTTGAAGGGGAACCCTTGGGAGATGGGGTTGGAACTGAGGGATTTTTGAAAAGAAGAGCAAGTGAAAACACCTTTAGGAAGGGGAGTCCAGACTCTTTGATCAGAAGAAGTGGGGTCCAAACAAACAAACTTTGGTAAATGAAGAAGCTCAGTGATACAAATCAACTCACCATCCCTCAAACCCCTATGAAAACCGAAATCCCAGTTTAAAGGCAGGGGACTCAATGGGTCCAAACATTCATATCATGCATAATGGAACAAGCAATTTCAAGTAAGTGTCAGTTCTTTCGTTCAGCTACACCATTATGTTGTGGGGTATATGAACAAGAAGTTGGTGAATTACCCCGTGTTGCTCTAAATATTGCTGAAATGGTGTTGCATTGTATTCTTTTGCATTATCCGAACGAAGAATCTTATTATGGACACCAAATTGGATATGAATTTCAGCATGGAGCTTTTAGAAAATAGAGAACAATTCACTTTTGTCTTTTATAAGATAAAGCCATGTCATCCTTGAATTATCATCAACAAAAATTACAAAGTACTTGTAGTCATTGTACGGCACTACTTTATTTTGGCCCTAAACATCTGAATGAACTAATGAAAAAGGACACAAAACACGACTATCAACCCTAGGACTGAAAGAGACTCTATGGTGTTTTCCAAATTGATATGACACACAATCCAAAGACGAAAGATGACTTAAAGATGGAACAAGTAACTTCAGGGCCTTGAGTGACAAATGACCAAGTCCGTAGTGCCACTGGAGAGGAGTAAGAGATGATTGAAGTGCTACTTTCGGATCACCACCATCAAGGACAATCAACCTGCTTCATATGCCTTCACCAATTTTCATCCCTATCTTGAGATCCTGAAACACACAAGAAGAGGGATAAAAGGTTATAGAACGATTAAGTGATTTAGTTAATCTACTAACAAACATGAGGTTAAAAGGAAATTTGGGTACATATAAGACAAAGGATAAAGATAAAATGTGAGATCAACATTACCAACACCACAAATGGGAGAAGTAGAACCATTAGCAAGGGTAACTGTTTGGGATGTAGAAGACTGGGAAAGAGAAGAAAACACACCTGGAGTCTCAGTCATATGATCAGAGGCTCCAGAGTCAATAATCCGATGTGAGGGTTTGGATGCCAAACAAGCTATGCCTGAATGAGCAAGAGTAGTGTTCTGATGAGAGGATACCTAAAGAAATTTCTCATACTCATCATGTGGGACACTCACCATTTCCTTCCCAGAAGTACCTGTAGATGTAGAGGGTGTCTAATAAGCTCGTTGGTTATCACTAACTGCGCCACCACAATTAGTCACAGCACGATTGGCCCAAGTATTGGGTGGACCATGCCACCATGGTAGGTCATAACAGAAGTTAATAGTATGTCCCTCTATTCCACAATATGTGCAACTCCTAGGACCAATATTCCATCCTCTACCACGACCTCCCCCTGAATTTTGACCTCCACTACGACTACTAGTACAGTTGAACATAGGACCACCTCGGTTCCCTAGAAATCCACATCCACCTCCATCACCTCTATTTCCACGACCTCCCCCTTTCACCACCACAAAAACAAACCTATCTGAGAGAGTGGAATGCTTCATAGGTTCAATAGATGCTCTGGAGCCCCGGGCAAACACCTCCTCAAGAGAGGGAAGAGCAGATCCACCTAATATTTGTGCCTGAACAGGTTTATATTCAGATGTCAATCCCACTAAAAGCCTTATCACATCAAGCTGCTCCCGTTGTTGCTACTGAATTTTAACATTCAAAGTCAAAGGGTGATGATACACATTAAGCTCATAACAAAGATTTTTTGTACTTGCATAATACTCTAGATTCTGATTTCCCTGCTTCAGGTTAAAGTATTCCTAATAAAAAGTTGGTATGCTCTAGTGGTGTTATCTTGTCTAGAATAAAGTTTCTTAGCATGGTCCCAGATCTCCTTAGTTGTACCCAAGAACATAAAATTCACATTAATTTTAGGCTGCATGCTATTCCATAACCAAGTCATAATTTGTGTGCATCCTCCTCTTCCCACTCACTATACCCCTTGAGAGTCAGAAGAGGGTTTCTCTTCCCTCACATGTTGCACCTTCTTCTTGTCTCTCAATAACACTTCCACCGATTTAGCCCATAGCACATAATTCTCACCATTCAATTTGGTGGAGGTTATTTGTACATTTAGGTAATTGGGGGAAATCATAACACCACTTTTATTATCACTACTCTCTCCAGTTGTTGCCATTGTAAAAAAAAGGTCATGACACACCACGAAAGAAGGAATTCAACTACAAGAAAATCACCCTTCACTACTCAGCACTACACCACACACTACACACCACACCATAATTAAATAATTGTTGTTAAGACACTATGCTGTCATAGGTTCAGCACAAAAAAAAAAAAAAAAAAAAAAAAAAAACTACTGCTGTCACACACATCCAGAATTGCCACATGGTCGAAATCCAGTCCAAAAGAGATAGAACACACCATGCTATCAGCTGACTATAGGGTTCTGTTCGCCACTTGTCCACAACCAGCCCTCTTCGAGTCATTGCTTAGAGGGTTTCTAGCAAACCACCAAAACAAAGACCACCACAGCAATTGGAGGCATAGCCACCTCCTAGAAGGAAAAATGACCACTCCTTTATGGTCTCTCATCGAGCCTCCAATTGGTTTATGAGTTATTTCAAAAAACAGGTCTGATATGGCGATCCAAGGAGAAAAGAAGGAAAGGAGAAATTGAATTCTAGACTGATTTTCTAGTGCTCTGATGCCATGTGAATGGTTCGATTAACACTAGTTCAGTCCTAGGTTTGGAGTAAGAAAGGAAGAAGAAGAAGAAGAAGAAGAAGAAGAAGAAGAGAGGGGAGAAAAGAAAGTCAATCACTCTCAGCTGACCCACCTTATATTTATGGTCTTTGCATTAGAATACAAAAGACAACTCTGTCCCTCATTAAGTATGGGACACACAACTTAAACCCAGATAAAATAGACAACACATCTTTAATTAAAGGAAAATGACCAAACTACCCTTATACTGCCGATTCTAACAAATTTTAAAATAAAAATGTAAAAAATCACAATATAAAACCTCTGAAGTCTTGATTCTCTCTAATAAAATTCATCATAACTATCTCTAACAAAATCTTTTTAATTTTCTTTTCCTCTTTCTCCAATAATCAATGTTTTAACCTCCTCTCCTCTTAAATCTATACAAACCCCTCATCAAAGATTTGGTGGGTTGTTTAGGTTTCAAAATCTTCTCACTCATGTTTTGCAGTTTTTTATCTTTTATTTGGCTTTATAGTTGAATGATATTTTATGACTTTTTTCCTCAAACGCTTCATTCCCATGCACTGCATGGCTTAGGAGAATGGCTGTTACATTACTTGGGAGTTGGGACTACCCTTGGGGCGGGACCCATACTCTGATAGCTTCTAGTACCCATTAGTGGAAAGGTTTACAAAGAGGCTTGCAAGTTGGAAGAGAAAACTATATCTCTTTAGAGGGGAGAATAGCTCTCATAATATCAACCTTGACTAATTTGCTAGTCTACTACTTATAAACTTTTAGGATCCCCACTAAAGTGGCCAATCAATCGGAGAAACTAATGAGGGATTTTTTTTGTGGAATCCAGGAGATACAAAGAAAGATCATTTGGTGAAGTGGGAAGATGGTGTCTAGGAGTAGGGATAGTGGAGGCTTGGGGATAGGCAATATTAAGCTAAGGAACTCGGCATTGTTGGGAAAATGGTTGTGGAGATTTCCATTGGAACAATAGAACTCGTGGCATAAAGTGATTGTGAGCATTCATGGCATGGCAAGCAATGGGTGGGATGTTGGGCTTGATCTTAGGGCATCTCGGTTGTCTCCTTGGAAGGCAATTAATAGTTTGTTGCCCTCCTTCCTCTTGTAAATCAGGTTTGATGCTTGTGCAGGTGACAGTGTGTTTTTGGGAAGATATCTGGTTTGGAGATATCTCTCTTAAAGATAGATTTCTGTTTATTTGTTCCCTATCTTTATACAATGGGAGAGTAATTTCCTCCGAGTATGGTAACGGGTCTGGTAATGGTAATTTCCTCTTGGGATTTGGGACTGAGGAGAGGGTTAAGCGAGTCTGAAATGGGTCTGGTAGATGAATTTATATCCCTTCTTAGCATGGTTTTCTTGGATTTCTTCTTGTTTGGACAGCTGAGTCTGGTCAATGTCCCCTTCTAGTTCTTTTACTTTTGCTTCTTTCTTAACTAGCTTCCTTGAGTTCTCTCACTTGGCAAAATCTTTTCCCACAAAGGAAGTTTTGTTGTCTACTTGTCTTTGCTTGGGCTGTGGTGAGTCATTTAGACATCTGCTATCATGTTGTCCTTTTGCTTCTTTTGTGTGGAATTTGTTTTCTTCTCTCTTTGATTGTAGTTGGATCCCTCTGGATATGGAAAGTCTTTTTGAATCAAGTTTCTTCACACTACCAAAGAAAAGGGGCAGGGTGATGTGGAGAGCCACTTGAGCAGCTATCCTTTGGTCACTATGGGAAGAGAGGAATAATAGACTCTTCCAAGGGGCAGAGAGAACTAAGGACCAAGTCATCGACTGCATACTTGTTAAGGTCATAGACTGGCTGAAAGCAATTGATTTATTCAAAGATTCTTCAGCTGAGGATATCTTTAGGGGGTGGTTGATAGTGGCAAACACTTCAACTGCAAGGATTGTGGTTCAGTCTCAATGGACACCTGCAGCACAACAAAGAGTAAAAACTGAACTTTGATGGAAGCTCAATGGCAACCCGGGGCCCTCGGGACTTGGCGGAGTATTTAGGGACAGGGAGGGCAGGCTGACAGCGCTATACTCTGGTCCTATAGATGTGGGAGGCTCTTTAAAATCTGAGATTATCACCCTACTTCAAGGTTTGAGGCTGGCCAAGCTGTGGGGATTTCAAAATTTTGAGGTGGAGGGAGACTCTAAACCGTTAATAGGATGGCTGCAGACAAAATGCTTTGGGATATGGACCTTTAGACGCAAAGGAGGAAGAACTTTTGCTTACCAAGGGAAGCTGGAGTAATCTTCAAGTGGGTAAAGAGGTCAGCCAATGCTTTGGCTGATACTTAGGCAAAGCAAGGGACCCTTGGGGAAAGCTTATTTTGGGCTATGTTGTAAATCATGTAATACTTTTAGGGTCACCACTCATGCTGTGTTGTATCTTGTTGGCCTGCTTATGCCCTATTGCTAGGAATTTGTTTTTTGTGCCTTTTTTTCAACTACAGATGCCAGTTTTATAGAGCGTAAGAAATTTGTGTCCTTGATAGTGATGACTGGTTGGTCAGCTTTGTTAAATTCTTTATTGACAAGTTTCTTGCTAGTTCAAAAAAAAAAAAAAGATGTTGGGCCTGCTTGTGCCTATTTCTTGGAATTAGTTTTTTGTACCATATTTTTCAACTACAGATGCCAGTACTATAGAGAATAAGAACCTTTGTATCCTTGATAATTGTAACTGGTTGCTCAGCTTTGTTTAATTCTTTAGTGACAGGTTTTAACTTCTCCATGGTATTTCTGTATATTGCATGCAATTGCTAGTTTGTATTTATTATACTTGGAATTTAGCATGTTGATGAGTTTGACTGATTCAACCATCTTTCTGTTGATTTTTGTGCAGATCCATCTGAAGAGTTCTGTGCAGAGAGAGTGTTATACAAGTTGATTTCTGGACTTCACTCCTCCATTTCAATTCACATAGCTGCTGATTATCTCCTTGATGAAGTTACCAATCTGGTTGTCATATTTTTCTCACATCCTGCAACATATTGTTTCTTTTAGAGAGAAATTTTTCTTGATGATAACAAAATTCGTGTCCTTTACAATGACACATTTGTTACCAACCAAAATTCCTAATATGGTCAGTCCTTGGGCACTTCTTGGATTGGTCATGACCCAAATCTAGGTCAACATTTTCAATTATTCTTGTCCCCGAATGCATTTTATTTTACACTGCTTCATTATTGTTTGCTTGATGTGATCTTGGGGTAATCCTTTAATTTAACAGTGTATTACTGAATGATTCATTCAGTAAGAAGGGCACAGATTGTGTCCATCATGGATTTTCAGTGTAATTCTTCTGAAAAATGAGGACATTGAGTGATATCTAAATGTGGTATTTGCTGTTCTATTTTCTGCTGAAATTTCAGTGGGGCCAAAATCTCGAGTTGATGTATGACCGGGTGTTAAGATATCCAGAGCGTGTCAGGAACCTGTACTTCACTTTCCTCTTTGTTCTCCGAGCTGTGACAAAAGTGAGTCCTAACGCTGCATTAAAGTTTTGGAAATTGCAGTTGTTAATGTTTCAGAAAGACATTTCTTCTGAATGCATGCTTTTATTCTTTATATTTCAGGCAGAAGATTACTTGGAACAAGCCGAGTATGACACTGGCAACCCTGAAGAGGACCTAAAAACATGTTCCTTGATGAGGCAGATGCTCTATAATCCCAAATTACAAGCAGCATGCCCTCTGCCATTTGATGAAGCCAAGTTATGGCAAGGTCAAAGTGGACCTGAGCTGAAGCAGCAGATTCAAAAACAATTCAGAAACATTAGGTATATTTCATAACTTTCTTTCGTTCAATTATTGGTTATTCTTGAGTAAAGCATTACTATTGTTATATATTTTCATGGAGAAAGGTAATCAATTATGTCCCTGCAAGCTCCGAACCCTGCAGTAACAATTCTCTACCATAGTTTTCAAGGCACCAAAGTGAACCTAAGCGAGAGGGGAGCGCTTAGTCACCTAGTTGCTTAGGTGTTTGCTTAATGTCTCAAAAAAGAAACAGGACAACAAGGGGATGAACCCATATTTTTGCCATAGAAATAGAAGTAGCAGAAGGGACAGAGCCCCTATTTTAGTTATAGAAAAGAATGAAGAAGAATTTTTCTTCTGAAAAAGGAAAAAGAAGGGGTGGACCCTTGTGAGCCCCTGTTTTTTGTTCTAGTCCACCCTTCTTTTGTTCCCAGAAGAAGAATGAGGAGAAGACCTGTGAAAATAGCATACCTTCTATGATTGATTGATTTCCCTTGCTTCTTCAAATACTTAGGCCTTGTTTGTTTGCATCTTTGTAACTTACTCGGGTAAGTGCACTTACCCATGTTCTTTTGATTTCCAGGATTCCCAGGTAAGCTAATATAAAAATGGACAAAGTTATCCCATTATGCTTTATAAAATTCCCCCCCAGGTGGGAAAATTACTCACCAGGGAGATGGGTAAGTTTTACCCAGGGAAGTGGAGCTTATTTTACCGTGGGGTCCATTAGTAAATGCAAAAAGAACATTGTAAAGTTGGTTAATTGGAAAAGGATACCCATTGACCAACTTTCCCAAGCTTATTTACCGGTAAACGAATGGGGCCTTAGTGTATCACTTGAACCTTGACGAGGATATCTATTGAACTCGTTTCTTCTTCAAGGTCTTGAATATCCTTCTATCAGAATCCTAACAAAATGAGAAACTAATGAAAAAATTTATTATCTTATGAAAGAAATAAAAATAATGATTTGGTGTATCATGCCTATCCTTGTATTATATACTTAAAATATTAAAATATGAGAAATATATAAAACTTTGAAGAGTTTATATATAAATCATATAGCGTTTGGGCAAGGCGAGCCCCAAGATGTGCCTACACCGCTACACACCACCTAGGTGATGCATCACCCCAAAACATACCTCCTGTATGATGGCATAATATCTGGATTAGTAATACATGCAATGTTCTGGTCAAAGCAGTCCCATACACCACTTGTGTACTTGGTCTAAAATTTTTTTGGATGTCAAGTGAGGAATGGTTTTCCATTTTGCTATGATTTTCCTCTATGCTTTTTTTTTTTCATTTTAATATGCTTTCCTAGTATCTTTAGTAATTAAATAACCAACTCTACATATTCTAGTGCCTTGATGGATTGCATTGGATGTGAAAAGTGTCGACTCTGGGGAAAGCTTCAAGTTTTTGGTCTAGGAACTGCATTGAAGATTCTCTTCTCTGTTGATGGCCATGACAAATTGGACCAGCCTGTAAGTTTCTTAATCATAATGCTGGTTTTAAAACATAATTTTTCTTATTCCTCCTACACAAACCCTGATTTAGTAGGGTGGAAATTGTTTCTAACAAGTTTAGCTACTTTTATTGGATCATCTTGCATCTTTGACCAGGAGCATACACTTGGCAATGTATCCAAAGGATGAGTAAATAGCTCTCATTTGTTCCTGAATCATGACTTACTTTTTTTCTATATTGCCTTTGGCCTTTCAGCTGCAACTACAACGGAATGAAGTAATTGCCCTGATAAACTTACTCAATCGACTCTCAGAATCTGTCCAATTTGTACATGAGATGGGGCCTGTAGCAGAAAATATTATTGAAGCACAGATTTCTGCACCTTCTGCTGTGAGCAGAACATGGCAAAGAATATTGGCCTTTGTACGCAAACAATAACATTATGTTGTTCACCTTGCAAGCAGTCTAACATGGTAACTGAGGTATCAATTTTGAAGGATAGTCTTAGTAAGGAGTCCGAGTAAGCAGAAGTGTATGCGTAAGGGGAACAAATGACTTGTCAAAAAAAAAAACAAAAGAAAGAAAAAAAGAGGAACAAATGGGTACAGTAAAACAATTTATTTTTGTTTGTGTTTTGAGAAAGAAATTGTTGAGCAATTGAAGCTTGAAAGAATACTGTTGTCAGAGTAGTAGCATTAATGTAGGAAGGGGATGTAAGATGTGAACTTTGTATTTGTAGTATATCAACATATTTTAGTCAATGTCAATATTGATGATTTTTCATACTTGCATCAGTGGAAGGCTTAATCATTAATGTAGTGTCAGTTGCTGAATCCGTTTGAAGTGCATTTTGCAGTCTGAGTGAGGGGATAAGACTAGTAATGTCATGTGTTTTGTCAATGGTTGATCTTTGAGTCTGTGACCATGAGACCACTACAGAATTCCGAAATCTTGGCTTACTGATGCAGTTAATGGATCGACTTATTATAAACAAAATGGTAGAAAGAAACATCACAGACGCATCAGGCAGCTAAGAACTTGTCTGAAATCAAAATTCATGTTGTCACTGGCACCCGCGATGGTTAGAACTTGGGAACACATGGAGAGTTGTGAGGGCAGAATGAGTCATAGAGACAAGCGATGAAAATTCCTTTGATGCCTTTATCGAAACAATTTCATTACTCTTGCTTTTGGTCTATTTTGTTATTTCAGTCAAGGTTGATCTTGCGTTCTGTTCTGTAGTCCTCTAAAATCACAATGAAACGTTGAAATCACCCAATTCCTTTGGATAAGATTTTTTGTTGTTAGGAATGGCAATAGGGTGGGTACCTCCCACCAATTCCTGCCCCATGGCCAAAATCCCCAACCCCCGAGTCCTCTCCATCGCTGGTAGTGTGGCAAAGATCTGACCCCCAACCTCTGAAAGGAGGGAGAGATCCATCGTATGGACTATGGACGCCAATAATGTAGCGGAATAGGGTGGGTGAATTTCAAAAATTTCTCTCCTACCTTCCAATTGGGAATCATATTCCATGATTTTAGAATACAATATTCAAGGATCTAATCGAACCAAAACCAAACCAGATCTGAACCAAAGAGAAAGGGAAGAGTTATACCTGATACGGAGAGTCAGTATCTCCCAACGTTGGTGTTCACGCCCAAAAAATACTCCCAAGATCTGCTCCCACTGAAGATGATGCAGTGATGCTGGAGCAGAACTAGCAGTGTTCGTCCTACGAACCAAATTCTTCACAAGAATTCGATGGAAGCGAAGAGCACCGTACACAATTAGCCTTTCAGCAAAGACTGATATCAAGAACACCTTCTTGATCTTTCCCTCTCAGAGAGATCAAACTAGGCAGTGAATGACGGCGGCGGCTGGAGGAGAACTCTGAGATCCTATCTCAAATCGTAGGAGAATTTTTCCGCTCAAAACCCTTGGTTCGAATTCTGGTAAATCAAGATTAGGGTTTCTCCTCTTTCTTAATGATTAAGAAACCTCCTAATCCTATTAGGAGTTATCCCAATCCAAATATGTATTTGGATAGGGAATTATCTTAATCCTATCTACAGATTAGGTTAACCCACTCCTGATCTTATCAGGAGGTTACCAGATTCAAATTTTTATTTGAATTTGGTCTCCAAGAGTGGATAGGGTCAAGACCCAATCCTTTAGCTTGCCCTAATCTCAGATCCGCCCCTTTAAGTGGGTAATTAAATCAGCTAGTTTGAAGTGGGCTTTAGGCCCAATATGTATTAAGTGCTCAACAGGCTTCCAAACTGTTGCCCAGTGGGGCTTCTTTGTATGGCGTGTGATCCAAGCATTGATCTACACATCAGCCACATGGGTTCGGCCCAGCCTCTGTTACAAGGCCTAGCCGAATTCACTAGAAAGCCCAGTGAACCCCTTGAGCCCATCACATGGACTCTTTGGGCCCAACACTTACACTAAGTGGTAACTGGGCCAAGCCATCTTATAAAAACCCAAGGACTGTGGGCAGAT